GTGGTAAAGCTAGAGAATCATACTTTACACACTAGAGATGTGGATTTGTGGTAAACTGCAGACCTAGATAAGACACTGCTGCCTAATCAGCGTGTGATGGTTCATATCCTTTCTCGGGCTCTCTTTGAAGAGGATCCTGTTTTACATCACTCTTCAACCTAGGAGGTTGATGATCTTTGATTTCAATTGTTAGCTCCCCTGCTTTTATAAATTGACAGATATCTAACAATTCAGCTGGCCATAAAGTTCTGGTGAAAAAGAGTCACCTGTTCTTCCCTGAGATACTTCCTGTTGCCACCGTGAGAAATCCTCAGCTTGTAAAATTCTCCTTTTACTCTCCTTAGGTGTTTTAGCTCACTTGGAAAGGCTAGAGAACCAAATGAGCAGATCCCGTAAACAGTCTGAAGAGCCGCAGAGCGTGCAGGCTCAGGAACGTGTTCTTGGAACCAAGATTCAGAAACTAAGGCATCTGCGAGATGATCTGAAGGCTGCGGTGCGGCACCGGCGAGGCAGCGTGAGTAGAAGGGTGGTGTCAGCAGTTCCTTTAGAGTATAATGAGCAAATGTGATTTGGGAATTGGTGAATTGGCAATTTTTAATAATGTGTTTTACTTGTGATCTTACTGGATTGATTGTAGTCCTTGATCCCTCAAATGATCAAACTTGTGGAGTTTGGCCAGGCGCGGTGGCTCATGCCTGTAATCCCACACTTTGAAAGGCTGAGGCAGGCCTATCACCTGTGGTCAGGCGTTTTGAGACCAGCCTGGCCAACATGGCGAAAACCTGTCTCTACTAGAAATACAAAAATTAGCCGGGCGTGGTGGCACGTGCCCGTAATCCCAGCTACTCAGGAGACTGAGGCACAAGCATTGCACCTGGGAGGCGGAGGTTCCAGTGAGCTGAGATCGAGCCACTGCACTCCAGCCTGGGAAACAGAGCGAGACTCCGTCTCAAAAAAAAAAAAAAAAAAATCCTGTAGAGTTACAGTGAATATCACCTAACATTGGTCAGGCACTACTGGTAAGCCAGGCAAGTTCTTCCTGCCAGGTTCTTAACCTGCCCTAATAAACACCTAAGTTTGTTACCTCAATCATAAACATATTAGGTATATACCTAGTAGAATTACTGGGTCATACGATATGCATATTAGGTTTAGTAAATACTGCCAGGTTTTGAAAGTGATTGTACTAGTTTTACATTCCCAGCAATAGTTGTATAAGTTTTCCATTGTTTTGCATTTTTACCAGTACTTGTAGTGGCTTGCCTTGAGTTGTTGATACTTTAGTCATTAGTGACATCTGTCACCCAGACTCAACCTCCTAGGGAGCTTGACCCTTCCCTTTTTTCAGTTTTCTCTCTAGCCTAGGTTCAGTCAGCAAGACCTATCAGATTTTTCTTTTATATAGTCTTTGTCCTTCCTCCATTGCCACAGCTCAAATATTAGCCATATATGGAGTAAATATCAGGTGATTTGGATACCAGGATTATGACAGTAGTCTGCCAGTTGGTGCATCTTCTCGTATTTCTGCTTTTCCAGTAAATCCTGCACAGCCAAGAAAATGCTTCATGAAACACCGCACCATTGCTGTGCTCAAAAGCCATCAACAACCCTTAATTGCCCATGGGATATCAGCCTTCCTCCCCATCTTCCTTTTCCACCTATATCTCTCTTCCTTCCTCCCTTCTTCCTTTCTTTTTTTTTAAAATTGTAATATATATAAAGTGCACAAATCTGATGGACTTTGTTACAAAGTTAGCACAACCAGGTAACTACAACAGTGATTCAAGTATAGAGCATTACCAGTACCCCAGAAGCCTCCAGTTTGCCTCTTCTAGTCATATCTCTTAAGGTACCCACTATTCTGATTTCTGTCACCATACATAGGTTTTACCTGATTTTGAACTTTATATAAATGTTAAGAAGCACTAACTCTTACGTCTGGCTTCTTTTGCTGAATATTATGACTGAGATTCACCTACATTTTGCTTATAGTGGTCATGTTTTTTATTGCTATATAGCAATTCTATTTTATGAGTATACTACAACTTGTTTACCCATTCTACTGTGATGACATTTGGGTTATTGGGGTTATTTCACTTTGGGATCATTATGAATGTTGTCACTATTAACATTTTGTGTGTTTCTGTCCTTTGGTATAAAAATATACACTTATATATTGGGTGTATGCCTAGTAGAATTGTTGGTTAGTAGGATATGCATATTAGGTTTAGAAAATTCTGGCAGTTTTTGAAAGTGAGTGTATCACTTTTACATTCCCAGCAATAATGTTCAGGATTTCCATTGTTTTGCATTTTTACCAATACTTGCTATTGTCAGTTTTTAAAATTTGCCATTCTGGTGGGAGTGTAATAATATCTCATTTTGGACTGAATTTGCATTTGCTTCATAACCAGTGATGGGGAATCCCTGTATTGAACATTTGAAAATCTTCTGTTGTGAAGTGTGCTTTTTTCAAGGCTTTTGTGAACTTTTTATTAGGTTGTCCATCTATTAAATTGTAGAAATCTTTACATATTTTGAATGAGTTCTTTGTTGGGTATCTGTATTAGAGTCTTCCTTAGACTGTGGCTTGTCTTCATTCTCTAATGGTGTCTTGCGATGAAAATCTTTGTTTTAATGAAGTTTGATTTAGGAGTTAAACTTTATTCTTAGTGCCCTTGTTTCTTGTTTAATAAATCTTTGTCTAACTTAAGATCATGCTGATCTTTTCCTGGTATTTTCTATTTTATTTTTTTTTTGGTTTTTGAGACAGGGTCTCACTTTGTTGCCCAGGCTGGAGTGTAGTGGCACGATCCGGCACCCTCCGCCTCCTGGGTTCAGACGATTCTTCTGCCCCAACCTCCCGGGTAGGTGGGATTATGGGCATGTGCCTGGTTAATTTTTGTATTTTTAGTAGAGATGGAGTTTCACCATGTTGGCCAGGCTGATCTCGAACTCCTGACCTCAGGTGATCCACCCACCTCAGCCTCCCAAAGTGCTGGGATTACAGGCGTGAGCCACCGCACCCGGCTTTTTTATTTCTAGTTTGCTAAGAGTTTTAATCATGATATTATGCTATTAAATTTTATCAGATATTTTTACTGCATATATTAAGGGAATCATGTTTTCTCCCTTATTAATTTGTTATATATTGATTGCTATTTAAATGATAAATTGCCCTCACATTCTCATAGTAAACCTAATTTGGTTTGATGTATTATCTTTTTAATATAATTCTAAATCTGACTTGCTGATATTAGTTATTAGAACTTTTGCATCTAAATTCATGAGAGAGATTGCCCTATGATTTTTTTGTAATAACTTTGTCAGGTTTTGGCATCAAGTTTTATGTTGCTCTTAGAGACATTTTCCTTTTTTTTTTTTTTTCTATTCTTTGAAAGACTTTATATACTATTGGTGTTATTTTTTTCTTACATTTTGTTAAGGAATTCCCCGGTGAAGCTCTTTGGGCCTTCTCTGTGGGAGGGTTTTAATTTCTGATCCGATTTCTTTGATCAGCATAAGCTGTTCAGATTTCCTGTTTCTTCTTGGGTCACTTTTGGTATGTTGCATTTTGCAGTTTGTTCATTTTATGTAAACTCGCATTTAAAGTTTGAAATTTTTTTTTTTTTTTTTTT